CCTAAGTATTGTAACACTTTAAATTATTGCAATTTTGTAATTAAGCTATATAATGTATCTATGTGTAAGTAGTCCTTCCCAATGCAATATTATGTCTTGGTGTCAAACTCTCGGCTACACTGCTATTCACTATACACGTTTTTCCCTACAAAAATTCGAGCTGCTATAAAGTAGTACACAATTGAGAAAACAAGAGGAACAAAATCTTTCTAGTGCAAATATATGGATGCATTCCTCTAAATGTAAAATGTCCATCAAGAAACAGTGTTAAGTGGATGGAATCCTCCTCCTTAATGCCTCCAGGCTCTGTGGCTGCAGATAAAACTTACGTGGGGTCATTTTTTTCTGTCTCCCTTTTAGCCTGTTAGCAGCTTGTCAGATTGGACAAGTGGGAAGCCTTTTAGGGTTTCTTGAATTTAAGTGGGGATTCACCTAAATGTGTGGCAGATCAGCTAGCTGAACCAATTTGCTGCACCAGGAGCCCTGCTAAAGGTTAATTAATTTGCTTATGTGCTACAACAGACATTTTTTTATTTTAATGTTTGCATCAACTGTATTATTAATAAACCAAAGGTCGCATTGGTTTGGTCTTTGTTCCAGACATGTTCAAGCCTTTCTCTCTGTTTGTCTCGGTTGTGTCTAAAGGGGGTTTGAAAGGCTACAATATTCACAGTTCTTGAACCAGACATTTAAATTGAATTAATCTGAAATGGTGTATTTTTTGACAGAAGGACTTCTAAAAGTTGTTTTAAAGGATTTGTTGCTGTTTCCATGTTACTAAAATGAGGTACTTATAACAAACAGGAATGAAGTGAGGGTGAAGTTGGTCGAAGCAGATGTGCTATTTTCACCTTATCAAAATAAAATACATTTTAAAGTTTACATTTATTAATTTTCTGAATGATTACAAGGTTGACTTAAAAAAGAAAGGTTTAATAGCAAGCAAGAATCATAACTTCTCTTACATGTTCAAGGAGAAAAACTAGATCATATGAAAATGTGAGCCCTCTTCTTTCAGTGTCAGGAAAGATTGATTTTTCCGAATGGTATGTCTTCTTCAAGGTCTGAACATGCCAATAGCATGAGCGTAAAAAGGCATTTTATGTTATTATCTTGTGCAATCATTTAATATCTCGTTCTCCGTTACATATGCTATTTCTTACAGTAGCAAAAAGCTTTGTCCTTGGAGCATAATGATGGGTTTTAGATTTTTTAAGATATCTAACTAAAAGAAGAAAATAAACTACTCACTAAACAATATGTAAAGAAAAGTGAAGGCAGTGTCAAATAGATTGATTCTGAATCAAGGTGTATGTTTAACTATTAATTTAAGAAGATCTTTTTTTTTTACTATTTATGGCTGCCAGCCATGAACATTTGTAAGAGTCTCTCTCATTTTATTATTTTAAATTACAACACAAATTTACAAAAATAGATAATATATATCAAATTTATGCAAAATGCCCCGCCAGTGGTCAAAATAAAGAAGCAGAAGTTTTAAGAAGTCTCTGGCTTGGTTTGAACAATGACTCTCGATCTCATACTTCATCAAAATGACTGGTGTCTTTGTTTATTTATCTTGAGGTTTAAGATCCCCAAATCAAGCAAATGATTCATCAAGGTGAGTTTGCAAAAGCTACTGATATGCAAATAAGGTCATTCAGACAAAGAGGTAGATCAACATCATGAGTTGGCAGCAGTGGCTATTCCTGTTGGAGCAGGAAAACATCTGAAACATTTAAGGACTTGGTGGTAGTTATCTGGTTGTCCTCGCTTCAGAACCTTCAGTTAGTATGTCAAATGTAAAGGTTTGTGCCACAAGAGTTTGGGACAACACACCTGGTTTGTTTAAGGAGTAGTCAGGAGATATCTTGTGTGTAAAAAGAATAGGACCAAATTCTCCCAGACCCAGCAATGGTAATAAGCAGGATGAATCCCCACAATTTAAAATCTTTACTATGGTCCTTTCTACTACAGTCACACCAATTTTTGCTGCATACACTGCACTGGACACTTTTGGTAGAATTACTGCATTACAGCTATAATGTATATGGTACAAATATGAACCAGAATATTTCCCTGAGTGGTTTAAGTATGTTTGTGCTTGTTTGTCATGTGATATACTGGCAACCTCATGATAAACCAGAACACAAACAGACACAACTTAGACCCCTTTTTAAAACCTTTTTAAGCAAATCAATGACAACCAGCCTCTACAGTACGCCACAGACATAGAAACACTAATAGTTAAGCACTGATTTGAAGACAATCATTTAATCACCCCCCTTCTGTTAAATTCATTTCAGATTTTTTTCATTCCTACAACACAATTAATCATAATAAAATGTGTTAATTTTATAAAAAAATTGTCTTTCTTCAAGTTTGACCCTTTGAAAAGTCAGAGAAAAATGTTTTGCTATTGCAGAACTTTGTGTTTGGCACAAAGTAGAGACAGGAGGCTAAACAGGACTAACTAAGTTGAGGGTTTTGAGGCTTTCATTAGAACAACGAGAATAGGTCCCGTCAGATGGAGAGGTTATGTTTTACGTTTTAGAGACAAAGCCAGAGAGGCCAGGCTGAGATGGTCTAGATGTGTAGAGATGAGGGGTAGTGGTTACATGAGTAGAAGGATGCTGTGGCAAGAACTGCCAGGCAAGAGGTAGAAGGAGGACCCAGGAGATGTATGGGTGGATTGAAAAACAACATGAAGGTAGTTGGTTTGAGATAAGAAGATGCAGAACATAGGGCTAGATTGAGACAGATGACTCGCTGTGGAAAACAAAAAGTACAAAAGTAAAATAAGAAGAAGCAGAACTTACTGTCACATGTAATTCCTACTGTAGCAGGATTTTAGTTTATTTGTGCTTATTTCTGAAGAAGTTGGTGTTTGTTTTTCCAAACATATCTGCACAGCAGATGGAAATAAAGCAAATCTGATCTAAAAGGTGTTTTTTAAGGTCTATTTTATCAGCAGTAAATTTCTTGCATCAGAAAACTGTCTGAGCATCTTCACTTCGATGAAACAAATCTGTTAATTACATTTTAGATTATAAAGTGCCAGTTCACCAGCTCAACTAAAAACAAACAAACAAAAGAAATTATAAATGTCATTTTTAGAATTAAATAAAATGTTTAAACTCAAAATTAAAACAAACTCTATTTTGAATATTCAGAGCAGCCATCCGTAGCTGCAGCTTGGAAAAATAGAGAAGATTCAGTCGCAAGACTTCAGAATGTATATTTATCATACAGTAGTAAAAAAAAACTTTTCAGGTAAACTGTCGTTTTTTTCTGTACCCACATATTTGCAGGACAGCTACACCAGACTACAGAAAAAAATTTCTTATAAAGACAGTATGAAACTATAACTAATATCCCGTAGCTGAGCGTGCACTTCAATCCAAATGAAAGTGCCCTATTTTTAATTCAGGGAATCTTAGCAGTAGTCTAAGAATTGTATTTTATGTGTTGATAATTGGGCATAGTGGCCATATCTGCACTGACTCTGAGCATGCTGGACTAAGTTTTGCTTGATGTTAACCAATTGACCAATTAAACGTCTCATAAGACTATCCAGATGATATCTCTTACCCCTGCTTTATACTCGCTGTTCCTATATCCCACCCACACATGATTTTTTTGCACCACACTAAACATATAGTGAATAATATTATCCAAATAGGAAGAGTTGCAAACTACACATGAAGGCCTGTCTTTTTGTCAGCATGCACAGTTTAAAAATAAACACAGATAAATTAACTATGGCAACATTTTAGGCTCAAAATGGCATGAATGTCACACTTAGGAGATTTTTATAGGAACTAGCATCCTATTTTGACAAATCCCTTATATCTTTAAGAGGATATAATCAATCAAACAAACAAACATAATCACGGATCCGGCCCAGATTGCTGGGCTGAGCCATATATAAAGCAGAAAGAGCAGGTGGATAAGATGAATGATAATTAGTGAGTGGGGAGGGTTAGGCAGGTGAGTGAAGTGAGTAATTAGATCAGCCATCAGGGCTGCGATCATTACAGTGAAAGATTAAACACTAAAATAAGCCAAATGTTAATTGTAAGATGTTGTCTGAATCAATTATATCTGTTAAGTCCCGCTTAGTCGTGAAACCAGAGTTTGAAAACAATGTGGAAAAAATCAGGTGTTCTTTCCAGATATCTCAAGCATGAACCACTCAGTCAGCTGACAGCTGGTGAGGCAAACTGACTGTTTGCACAGCCAAAACAACAACAAAATAAATCCAGAAAAATGTGGAGCCCTAAGCAATATTTTGCTATATAGATATTTGATATTCAAACAACTAAAGCCTCATCTCCAATCATCTTAAAGCTCAGTTTGGTGTTACAGAACATTTTAAAACCTAATCAGTTTTTGCCATGAGGTCGGGTTGACTTGACAGACTGGACCAGCCCATCAAAAAAGAGAGGCAGACATTCAGATGATCCTTGGAATCTGTGCAGTCTTTGACCCCTAAATATCACAGCTTTAAATTATCACTATTAACATGCCTTTTCAAAAAGTTACAGCCATTTAATTTGTGCCATTTTTAAATCAAATATACCCTGTCGTGGTATACACCACCAGTTGAAAAAAGTCATATGTACAGGGTATAACTTTTGATTTCGGAAAGCCTGCTAACCATCACCCTAATTGTGATATTTCTTAAATGTTATGTGCATTTATATTAACAAAATGAAGTATTTTAAGTAGAAGTGTTGGCATATTTGAGTAAATATGGAGCACTTAGGAGCTTTGAACTGCAGCTCACATCTCTTACCTTCAGCTTTGACTCTTTTAATATCACTCTTCAGATTTCTGAGGCAGCAGCTGGAAGAGATCAGGGGGGGCATATCATTCAACCATTAGCCCGTTCAGCCCCCTCTAATCCCTCCCCTCCAGTCCCGACGTCAACGTACAGGCAGCCTTGGATGGATGCTATAGTAAATCCCCCAGTCTGCGCTCTGAGGTGCAGGCTGCGCGCTGCCTGTGCCAGCGACGCACAAGAAGTCGGACTTGAAACGCAGCATGAAGCGCAGATCGGCTGTCTCATCCTGAGCTTATCGATGAAGCTGCTTCTAAAATCTTAGATCTATGTCTGATTCAAAGGACACTGGACTCTCCTTACTTTCCCACAAAGCGCTCCGCCAGTTGTCAACTTAAGTGGACGCTCAGCAGGTAAGACACATATAATTATCTAAAAGTAGTTATTCAATAAGTTCTTCTGATCTTTTAGCTCAATAAATGTATTCACTTTTTAAATCTTGAGGTAATGTTGGTAATAAGGCTTTCAGGTCAGCGAATTAACGTCTTCATGCGACTAATTATGTTCCTTTTAGCGCGTAGTGCGCACTCATTATTTGGTCACAGACACCTCTTTGTGTGGAGGGGATCAAGCGCAATTAGATGAGCGAAGTTTTTTGAGCAAGGGCATAAAAAGTGCAGCGGAAAAGAGGATAAAAGCGCAGGGATTGTTGTTTGCTTATTGGCACAACATGCAGATATTTAGAGCAGAAGGGATCCATGGATCCTTCTTATTCATGAAACAGTGCGTTAATAAAGAATGCACTGTTTAAATGAATAAAGAATTAACTAAGAGAACGCGTTTTTGTTCTGTTGGAAAATATCTATTTTTTTTTTATATTTCTTCATAATAATTGTACCTTTGGTTTATCCCCCTTCCCCCATCTGCAACAAGCACGTTTGATTTGTGCGTAAATGTACTTGTTTTCACATATTCCATCCCATCAATCAAACTCAATCACCTGACCAAAAACGCCCCCCCCCCCTGAGGGCTTGGGCAAAATTATTATAAAAATGTTTTAACTCAGTTAGAACCTGTTGATCTCTACCTTCCTCCCCCCCATCTTTTTTTTTTTTTATATCATACATGACCTTCAGAAAGGTGTGCATGAGTTGAATAAAACCTACATTTCATAACTTGTAAACTGTTTTTTTTTTACATACAGTCATGGAGAAAACAAATAGACAAGCATATTTCCCAGGTGAATAACATCACAAATAACAGTGGTTTTTCATTTATAAGGGTATTAAATAGAACATTGAAAACTGAATTAGACATTCTGCACTTTCCAAGGCAAACTGATTTAATTTGCATATCGCCCCAACACAATCCAGTTCCAGTAATAATACAGTGAAGTCAAATGCTGTTGACAATGGCAGTCACTAAAAATCTTTTCAGTGAGTTTGACATTTATTTTTTTGTCATTTGTGACATTTGCAAAGTGTTTAAGCCCCCCTGTGGTTCCTGTCGTTTGCGTTGCAGCTGCAGATCGTAAGGGTTTTTACGATATTACAAAGGATCAGAGGCTGATATTGTTTTAATTTGTGATTTACAATATTTTTACAAGATAACTTCACCACTTTTTTTGCTCCAATGCACAAAGCCCAACCCTCCATAGCCACTTCTCTTTGTCTTACTGTTTTTATTTCTGGTTTGGGAAATTTTAAGCAACAGGAATTATATTTTTTAATTTTTTGCCTCACCAAAACAATAACGATAGAAAACGTTAAACTAAAGCTGTAACTGTTCCTTTTTGGTTCTAGTGCCAGCTCATATTTTCACCCCAGTATTTCACCTCTCGTTGCCACCGCTAGTAAGACTGGGAATTAGATGTCGTGGTTGCAGCAGCAAAAAGGCTGAACGTATAAACAAGCTGCTACAGTCACTGAGCCCCGTTTATGCAGCTGTCATCAGAATGATCAGCATCAGAAAGTTGACTCGTTATGTGCTTCTGCTGAAATTTTACAAAAGCCTTAATAGATAATCAGGAATAAAAATAAAGGTGAATCTGATCAGAGAAAAGATCTCTACAGCCTGTGTTAAGGTTACCAGCTGTGTGCAGATTATTTAACTGCCAATGCATATTTAGAAGATTTTTTTTATTTCATTTTTTTACACAAATCTCAGTAATTCTGATCAAAGCGATTCTGAGTATGAAAGATCTACATTAAAAATGTTTGAAACTGATATGTGTTGCCAAAAGAGAATTCTAATCTTTGCAACATTTATCATTAAAGCTATTCTACATCTGAAATGAGAAAAGATAAGAAGGAAATATTGGTGGTTATACAAACTCTTTCTGGGTTAATGCAGCAGACAAAGTGAGATGAGCTCGTTGATTGTAATTTTTTTTCCTCATTACTCCAGCCATTTATTTTAATGTACTCCTGCCTATCAGGCTAAGATCAGGAGGAATCTTTTTTCACTCTTAATTTTGTCTTAATCAACTTCCACATCCACAGCACGCCAGGCTGACTAGAACCAGCTAGAGTTTTTGAGGGGGAGGGGTGATATTTCAGATAGAGATAGGAAATTACAGCATAAAAACATCCCTCCAATTTATTCTAAAATCCAGGTGATGATAAATGCATCGGTATGCCTCCTAAATATATGTAACAAAAATCATCCATCCATCCATCCATCCATCCATCCATCCATCCATCCATCCATCCATCCATCCAAAAATCATATTATTCTTAGAAATCTTAGCAATGTTGGAGCACAGGTATTTCTTGACTATTTTGTTTTCTAGATCATTTTGAGTCCTGGGCTTCTATTTTTTTCATTTTATGGTTATTTTTTGAAGGATTAAGCTCTGAGTGACAGAAGTGTTTTATCATAGGTGTATTTATATGGAAGTATGAGGACATAGTTGACCATGGCAGAAGTTTCTACAATAATTTGGCCACATTTGTAGAGCCACAACTCTGGTGTAACATTAGGCTATAAAACAACTTTCACTTTCTGCTAGCAGCACCCATAAGTGTATTGAAATGGTTTTTCAAAGAGTCTGTAATGAACTTCATCTAGTTCTTAAGGGCTGTACGAAGAGAAACAGATTCAAAGAATAACCAATATTTTACCGTTCTAGTTATATTCAGCTTAATCTTGACTGTTGCCAGAAAAAGCAGTCTATTTAGCCAACTCCTTATGTGTATTTTCCCTGTTATAAGGATAGAATGGACTGGTTTTGTGATGCAATTCTATAATAGTGAACTTTGGAGATTGGTTTTCCTTCTTTATTATGTTTTACTTTGCAATGCTGGCAAGACAAATATAAAACTTTGCCGTACTCAGTTTACAGTTGCTAAGATAAATCGTTTCTATGTAATTTCTTATTGATATGCCATAAAACCAGATGTTTAAAAATAACTAATTAGGACCTCTTATAACTTTAGAATAATGTAAAGAATTAAAGATTAAAAGCTGATAAATGCATTTAGTTGTGCAGTTTATATCACAAGGATGTTTAATGGTACTATTTAGCCACTTCTGCTTTTGTTAAGAAAGTAATTTCTAAATGTTTCATTCACATGTTAAGAAATCTGCTCACTCTAAAGGTTGGAGTGATCTACATTTTCAGTATGTGATCATGCTACTACTATAAATAAGTGATTTTCTTTCTAAATGCTTTTTTATACATCTTTCAAACTAAATATTTGCTCTGAATTGGATGTGTCTGGTGCTTTAAATATGTCAGAAATACATTCACAAATCCTGCTTGTGGAGAAATAAGAATGAATGCAAGCATAATGTATAAGAAAAAAAAAAAAATCCCATCCAGGATAAAAAAGAAAATCAATGTACTTCTGCTTCCTTGAAAAGCAACCACTAGATGTCACAATTCTAGAGCTTGTTACGGATGACTGTATCAGTATGGTTTTATTAGGGTTTATGTTGTGTTAATCTAATACTGGTATTTCCCAAAATAAATGAAACATGCCTGAAGCTAGTGGAGGCAGAGTGAAGATATCAGCTTTGATGTTACCAAACCAATTAGAGTCAACATGCAGTAAAATATGATGATGATTTTTCCCAAGAAAAAATGTGAGATCTGTTATCAGCAGCAGGTTAAACATCTAATACAACAGCGTCTCATTTATCTCACTCTAAGAGCCGGGTGCTCTGGGGCTTCCCAAAATCTTAAAACACAAATCTCAAAGTGGCTTATGATAACAGAAGTGTTTTATCCTAGGTGTATTTATATGGGAGTATTTCTATATTCAATATTTTTATTCTGAATGTTTTAACTGGCGTCATAATGACAGATAACCAACAAGATATTTTTTCCTATTAGGTGCACTTTGCTTAACAGAACCTGGTGAAAAGAAGAATTTGAAAAACTGCAACTTTTATACTTTTAATCAAATTCCAAGCCAGTTTCCATCTTTTGTCTCTTTATCACTGTCAAATATAGTAAATATCTTATCTTATAGTGATACAGAACATGTTGGTGTCTTACTTCAATGCTGGACTACTGTAATTTTGTATAATCTAAAAGTCCAAAACTATTCCTAAAATGTTCAGCTTATTGAAAAATCAGCAATTAAAGTTCTAGTTAAAGGTTCTAGTTCCATGCCTTTATTTCCTCCCTATTCAAGCTAAAATGTGATTTTTGTTTATTCTCAAATACATAGAAAATCCTTATACTCCATCATAATCAGAAGTCTGATTTTCAACATATTTCATAGATAGAATGTAGAATTTAAAAAAACTGAACTGGGAAAATTTTTTGTATTTATCTGAGTTACTTCCTGTGAAATGTGTCGTAATTTTTACCCATGGGGAATATATACTGTTTACCTTGAAGGTTTACAGCCAAGTAATTGACAGAACAACAGATCCATCTACTGTAGCTTAATAATAATTCTGAATAAGTCATTATTACAAAAATCTCAATGTTGAAATAGTGCCCAACTTTTGAAATTATGTGAATGATTGGCTTAATCACAATGATTCACAAGGACCATTCCCACATAACTGTTATGAGCGAGTAACCCTGGAAGTTTATAATAGCTTTGTGAGGCAAATGGTAAGTATAATAAAGCAACAAGAGAAAAAAATGTGCATGAGCAATTCCATTAATGCTGTAGGAATTTTACAATATTTCAACCAGGAGAGACTCACACAGAGAAAAGTTGTAACTTGAAAGTATTAAATGTATTTATACAGGTAACACAATCATATTATTCAACATATTTCTATCTAAGGAAAATCGCCTGATTGCGAGAACTCATTGGCTATCTGCAATCCCTCGCACTGAGCATGCATGTAGCAACAGTGGAGAGGAAAATTCCATTTTAACAGGAAGAAACCTCCAGCAGAACCAGGCTCAGTGTGAGCGGCAATCTGCCGAGGCTGACTGGGGTTCAAGGAGATAAAGTAGTACAGTGGTGGTGGAATAAGCCAGAGGATGAGTGGGACTGAGAATGAGGAAGGCGATGGGATGGAGGTGGGTGAAAGTTTGCTTGCATGTGGGAGAGAGAAGCTGGGCCAGGAACTAAATGAAGGGGATCTTGCAAATGGCTGGATTTAGAGAAGGTGAGGCCCCTGAGCTGAATGGCTGAAGATGAAATGAATGATGGACATCAGGTTCAGGCTAAGCTGATAAAAGTCTTCCAGATTAAAATTTATGCTGAATCTTCATTTCCCTATTTATAAACATTCCCATTGCTAGATTTCCCATATTTCCCCATTGTGGGACATTATATTATTCTATTCTATTCAAAGTTATAGCATTCAGACAATGTCAAGTTCACGGTCTGGCAACATTTATCTTCAAGGAGTCTATATCTTAGCAGTAAAATGATCTAGAAAGTTGCCTTACAGCATTTTCTTTTCTATATTAATTTGTTTTGGTTGATGTCTGAATCCCCAAATAAGTTTAATATTGAGGTGTAATCGTACACATACAGATGCAGTTATATCTATTATATCTACGTATGTATCTATTTTTACCTGAAGTTAAAACCAGTACCTAAACTACAAAAAAAAAAACAACACCTATAAACCACGTAGCCATATCAGAAAAAAAAGTTTGGAAAACAATTTTTCTGTCATGTTCCTCTTATGCTATATAAAAAATCTTATGTTGTAATATGGGCCTATCAATGCACATAATAATAATTTCATAATACTGCCATTCTTCCTACACTACTTTGTTCTCATAATATTTCAATCTCTTTACTGAGGAAACAGTCCTTAGTCCCTCCGGTATCTGTACTGACTTCCCTTGAGTAAACAAAATGTGTATCTCCATTGGTTATTGAGTTAATCTAGTGATGCAGAGCTCTGTATATGGGCCATTTAATTTAGCAGTCATTATTGTCACAGTTGTTTAATGAAAATGTGACTTTTAATTTTCTATATGTTTATGTATATTTAAGTTGTTCCCCTCATTCACAACTATAATAATTAGTAATGAAACAAGAGAGAAAGAAACAAATAATATGTACTTGGACCTCAGGGTGCAAATAAATACATCTTTTTTTTATACAGCTTTCCACATTTAATTCATTTTGTGCTCAACATATTAAAGTGAAGGGAACAATTATTTCTATAAATACCAATCTTAAAACTATGGCATCTGTATTTCTTCAGAATCCTTCACTTTGATGCCTCAAAGTTTTTTGTGAATAACAATATCTATATAAAATTTTTTATAATTAGGCATCTTTACAGTTTTGTTACTAATTACATTAGTAACAGTTTTCCAACATAGACAGATTCACCCCATGTTTCTGCACATTTTATTTTTGCTTTTTTTAGGGGGGTGGCAGGGGTTTGCTATATTTTATGTGGTTCAGAGGGAGTAGTGTTCCTATGTGGTTCCAGGGGGGTAGTGTTCGGATTAGTCATTTAGTCCCCTTGGGTGGCTTGTATGGAGTTTCTTGATCTAGTTCTATTTATAAATCCATCTTTCTTGGTTGTTATGTGTGAAACTAGTGTTGCAGGCCATCAGACTCTGGTGAAAGGTGAATGAGTGGTGTGTCCGGTTTCTGATCACTCAACCTTTGTTATTGAAGTGGGGCGTAACTAGGTTGTAGAGTTTGGATGTTTAAGTCACTGGTTATTATTCCTAGAAGGTAAATCTGGAAGGATTAAACTGGAGCATTTCTCTTTAAAGTAAATGAGGATGGTTGGTGGAAGAGGCTGTTTGCTGTCCTCTGCCAAAAAGGTTTGATCTTATCCTGTTTTAAAATTTAATTCCCCTTTAATAAAATATTTTTGAACAGAATTTGTTTTGAATTTCAAACCAACTAATTACTACATGATTCATTTATTATATTTTAACTTCTCTCACTCTCATGAGGTCCAAAATGAAATAAACATTTCTGTTGCTGTGAAATTGAGGATATCCTACCATTTTTTTTTATCTGCTCAAATCTTTCCTCTGCCTTGGGCCTGCTTTGCTTCATATTTGCTTCAGTGGTTTCTTTTTTTAATGCAGGATTTTAAATTTCTGTTTCCTTTTGAAAGGAGAATGCAATTCATGTGCTTTCATCTCTTTTTGCAGATTTAAAATGAACGAAGGACAGGTAAACAACTCCACTCATCTGTACGACAACTGGACATTTTATAACTCTTCCTTGGACTACATCACACCCAGGAAGAACATCACATATGTTGGCTATTACCTACACCAGCCGTCCACTGCAGCCATCTTCATCGTGTCCTACCTGCTGATCTTTGTGGTGTGCATGGTGGGAAACGGTGTGGTGTGCTTCATTGTGCTGAAAAGCAGAAATATGAGGACAGTGACAAACCTGTTCATCCTGAACCTCGCTGTGAGTGACCTGCTGGTGGGAATTTTCTGCATGCCAACAACTCTTCTTGACAACATAATTACAGGTAAGCAAGGTGTTAAATACAGTAGATGCTATCAAATAGTTTAGCTATAAATTAGGTAATATGTCACCTTTTTTTAAATCAAGATGGTTGCATAAGTATATCATCTCAACCTAGGGGGTGGTAGAACTCATGGTAGGGCTTATTTGTGTCAAAGACACTCTCAACATTGTGACGAGATATTTTCCTGGAGCTAGACCTCCCAGAATAGGGTTCCTGCTGTTTTGTAATATAGCCAGAGCTTCTAAGTTTAACTGTAAATCTTCTCTTATACTGTATTATTAGGAGAAAATCTCCACCACATTTCTTGCTAGGTGAATAAAAATGCTTAGCCATGAATAATGATAATCCCATCCTGGATTATCATTCGATTTTACCACCTTCATCCTGAGTAGACATGGACCAGACTCTCCTCCTAGTTCTAATAATGACCAAGGCAGGTTGACGGCTTTGGACAGCCAGGAGAACTCTGCCTGTGAAAGGAGTTTTTCAGTCAGAGTGCCTTTTAAACTCAAATAACAATTTTTTCATGTCAAGGACTCTGCTTCAAACTGACCATATCAATGCATTATTTTATTTTTATCTTTTTTGCACCATGTTTTTTTCCCCCCACAATGTTTACCTTTGATCACTGCTGCAAGAAATGGAAATGTCATGAAAGCTGTAAAAAACCAAATTTCGTTTTGTATATACTCTGTGTATAGAAAACGGCATTAAAGTTAGTCTTAGTCTAAGTCTTTTTTTTTTTTGACATTTTTTTCAAACTTTTTTCAAACAGAAGAATCCCAATTTTCCCAATTTAGACTTCCTCACAACATAAAGCTTTTAACTGGAATATGTACAGTGAAAAATTTATGTGAAAGAACTGGGTGGGTGGGATGGCAACGTAGGTCGGGAGGTCAGAAAGTAGATGCTCATTGGTCTGAAGCATTGTCATCAGGCATTTACATAAAGGCAATACATAGACAAACATGACGTTAATACAAGTTATTAACAACAAGGATGGATTAACTCAGTCATTTATGGTTCCTTTTTACTACCTTTACAGTTAATGATTAAATCGATTGTGGGATGAAAAACATTTGGCCTTCATTCTTAAGAATAAATGTAGGGAATACCTTTCCCCTATAGAAAGCAGATCGTAGAGGGACTATATTGTTTTATAAGCTTGTATGCTTTTCTTTCACTATCTGTATATTTTCTCCATGCTTGCCAGAGGATTTCTTCTAAGCCTCTGCAGCACAGCCAGCAGCTGTTATGAAATACAGAATATTCTCAATAAAAGCAGAAGAGAACATTAAAACTATTGTTCAGTGAAAATTTCTATTGACGCCAAATTACCATAGTTTCTTTTAAAAGCAGAGTCTCTGCTTAGCTTTGGTGCTACTAAGGTCAGTCCATGAGTTGCACTTACGTGGCAGTCCCTAACCGTGCCTAGGTTCCTGTAGCATGAGACAGTCTTAATCTGTTCTTTATCAGTGATGGTTGGGCAGAAGAACTGAAGCTTCCTGAATTCAATAGATGTTGAGAAATGTTTGCAAATGTTTGGTTATAAACATTTGTTTTTGATTTGGGGAAGTGAGTTTGTTTGGGAGCCTGAAATGTTCCTAGAATCAGAGTATTTTAACCTCTAAAAATACTATTAAAGTTAAAAAATAAATTCATTAATGGAGGAATTACCATCCCCAAGTGAAGCTGCCCCACCCACATTCTTCAAATAAAACAAAATGAATGTCAGGCAATTCAACTAATTTTGTGCTGTTATGTGCAGCTGGAATGAACCAATTTAAATTGCTGTCACTTTTTTCAGCTAGATTTCTGTGGCTTTGTCACCAAACATGTTTTATTTTTGCTGCTTTTCTTTTAAAACTGCTGACAAAATGTTTTGATCTTCAACTTTTCTTTAGCAACTTAAAAAAGTGCAGCACAAACAAACATTTTGATACACAAACCATCACAACTAAGCAGAACTGATTGACACCAATTTTGTTTATTTGAAGAAGGTGGGGGTGCGCATTGATCTTTAATGCACTCCGGAAGTTTTTGTTACCATATTCAAAAACAACAGCAGCACAATAATTTATTTTGCTGCACAATTTGCACTAGGGTTTCCAACCGTGCCTTGAAAAACAGAATTGTCCCGTATTTAGTGGAAAAGGAACGCACTTTGTTCGGTATTACTGAGAGTGAAAAAATAGTCAGTAAAAGCTAATGGAAAATGAACATGTTACATACAAATGGCATGTTACATACAAAACTTGCGGTAAACTTGTTCCCGGGCCCTGTCCTGCATTGTGACCAATGAGCTGACAACATGTATGCAATGATCCAGAATACCCTCATCCCATTGGTCAGGCCAAGTGTTGCTCACGGAGAATATAGCGGGAGACATCAGAGCAGTATGGGTAGGGGAGGTGCACCTTCACATAGCGATGCTCCTCCTCCAAAAAACAAAAAAGGATGCAGAAATATAATGAGGAATGAGAAAAAACAAATACCCGAGTGGAAAAAAGGCTGCGATAATGAATATAAAGCACACAGCAAACATGCATCTAATTAAATGCAGATTTAAGTCAAATAGTTAAAAAAAATAATTTCACACACAAAGGGGGGCTAAGAAAAAATCACCACGCCAGGAGGGGTATAGGCAATCGGGTCAGCTGGCACGCACATGAGGCGTCACTTTTTTTTTTCAGGGATTTGGCAACGCTAACTGGCACTGATCTAGCACAAACATTTGACACAATTTTTTGCTTGATTTGAAGAGGGGATAGGGACAACTTCACTCAGCTCAGTAACCCTACCCAAAGAAGCAATTTTCTTTTTAAAACTTATTCAAGTAAATGTAACTGGTTAAATGTAAATTGCTACTACTCTCCTCTCATGCCTATAAAAGAAAACCAAAACACAAACACCCATGGATGATTAAAATATTAGGCGCTCAATATCTGGTCAGGACTCCTTTTGCATGAATGAAGACATCAATGCAATGTGGCATGAAGTTGAATAGCTTGTGGCTCTATTGTGTCAGTATTAGAGAAGTTGCCTATACGGCAACCTTTTAGGAACTAAGTCTCACTATAAACCATAGATGGAAGCAGGTTAGATTAAAAATGAATCCCTTGCAGGCACACTGATTGCAGATGTAGCATCCTGAGTTTAAATGAGCACAACTGGCAAAATAAAATAAAAAGTTGGAAAATCACAACAGAATGAGCAGAAAATAGATTAGAAACACATTTAAAAGAGAACATAGTTGATTAAAATCGCTGGGAGGAGAACTTGAAAGTGGAGTTTTACCTGCCTATTGGAAATTACAGTGTGATGAGGTATTTAACAAGTTTAGAATTAGGCCATTTCTAGAAAAAGGACACAAACTAAAGATGTCTGTCTAATGAAAGCAGGATGCTGTAAGGTGTGCAAAAGAGTAATTCAATTCTTTTGAGCGTTTTTCTAGTCTCTATTATTGATATTTCTCTTGTAGTTGCTACTGTAGTTCCATGGGTCTGTTTCAGATGGAGAAAACTTTTCAGCTTTAAATATGCTTTATTCAGAGTTCAAATGGGTAAAAATACCTCTCCTAATCTTTTGATGTTTGCTTCTGAGAATTGTCATTATGTCTTATTTCCATATTAGTCTTTGGTTGAGATTTTGCTGGTTAAGCTTGAAATTCTGTCATCTTTTAATTAACCTTTTGACACTGTATGCGAGGGCTTTCAGTCAGACTCATCCTTTGCTTTTACATCAAACCTGTCAAATTTTAATCTTTGCTACAATCCATAACCATAGGATTTTAAGTATTTATGTCTTTTTTTAAATTAGTTTCCGTGTTACTGGATTTTGTGCTATATGAAAATGATGAAGGGAACTTTGTATTATAAACTGAATATGAACTGAATTTTGTATTATAGTATAGAATGCCATTATGATGGGTTAATTAATGGGGAGAGGACTTCCTTTCCAATAATGGAACCCTTGAACAAGGTGGAAATGACAATAATGAGAGATAAGATACCATGTCTATTTTAATCTGTGTCTAATCATATACTTATGAAAAATGTGTAATAAACTATTAGGTAAAAATATTTAATTAGGAATTCAGGACTGCATTCTTTTTTCAAAGATAAAGAAAAAAGTTTTATGACTGTAGCCCCATTTACACTAACCTTTTGAAACCGTGCCGAGATCGGTCCCAGCACGGTAACCATGATAACTGTTAAGTGTAAATGGCATGCATAGCTGAACTGGACCATGCCAGAAAAAAACAGAACCAGTTCTGGCCCGGTTGTCAGATAAGTGCATTAGCGACCGCATCATCTCCATACAGTCAGCCTCCGTAATCATGAAATTTCAGACATTCATAAAAATACTGTATTCCCTACCTTGCCACACGATTGTTATGGGTGCTGATTCTGCTTAGCACTGTGATGAACCTCAACTCCTGTCGTTGCCCTGATTAGACTATCATTTGTCGTATCCACTTCCCAAAAGCCGATTCTGTCAAGTAAATTCACCAAAGGCTGCGTCCTTTGCCTGACTCTTGGCAAAATGTTACGGGCACCGCCATGTTGATTTGCTTGTTTACCTCAAGAGGGCTGTAGTACTGTAGATTTTCACTAGGAGACGAAGAACTGTGCTGGCATGGTGTTTAAATGGCTGTAAGGAACCAAGCTCTGCACGGTTAACTGACCCAAGTTTGGCACGGATCGGTTTACAGAGGGTAGTGTAAATGGGGCTATATTGAGACTGGTTTGTATGTCATTAAGGCTGTGTTAGATTAAAACATACAGCAGACAACAAAAAGGCTCACCAGCGTTGCAGGTACATATCACTTTTAGTGCAAATTAAAGGTTATCATCTATTATATTGTATTTGCAAATGTTAGCAAATGATTGGGGTTCAATACATACATAACATTTTCTAGAATATCTTTATATGGCTCTTTATAACAAGTATAAAGAGCCATTATCAGTGAAGCACCGATTCAATGAGTCATCATGACA